ACCCCACACCTCTTGCAACACTCGAGCGTTCACTTCTCTTACAACCCCGTCTATAAATATATTGAACAACCATAATAATAATTGTGAGCAGGGTAACATATATGAAGGGATTTTGGGAAGTTGGTTACCCAAACTTGAGTCCTGGAGGTGGGAAGTAGTTGGGAGGGTCATGTGAACTATGTTGTCAGCACACTTCTGGCAGGACAGTTATTGAATGAATGATGATGAAACTACTTTCCTCTTATGGATGGTTACCCTAACTCAGTGGGAGATGGCACGTGTTACAAAGAATAATGTAATGGCATGAAGGCCTCTCAAGGGATGTTCCTTGTTGCTGGTGAGGGGCTTTTGATCCAAGGAATTGTACCTGTGCTCCCTTGGATCACACCCAAATACCTATTCCTCCAGGTGCTGTATGACTGCTATGGGTTGAGTGCTCCCCCGTAAATTTAATAATGATGGCATGAAGGAGGGTGCAGCTCTTAGCTCTATTTTTTTTTTTTTTTCATTGATTGTGCAGACGAAAAATATATAGCATAGGGAGTTAGCAGTCATGAATATATGTTTGGGTATGTGGATGTTCTGTAATTTGCATCTACCAGAGCATTTGAGAAAAAATCTTTAGACATCCATAATCATGGAACTGAAATCTGACATTGATTCCAAATAAAGTCTTTTTACAAATATATGTTTAGATTATAACTTAAATTGATTATAACTTAATTGTTAAAACAATTATTTGTATTTTTTCCTATTAGGGATTCAAGAGGAGAAAATACAAGGAAAAATCTAAATATATTTTACTGGGGTGTATTTTTCCCCACAAGTGCTATCTTAGATCTTTCTAAACTGTCATATCTGAGTCCCTCTGCAAAGACAGTGATTATGTATGAGTGATGGTGGAAGTGTTGAATGATGATGAAATTTTTTTTTCTTTCTTTTTGGGTTTTTCTTTTTGGGTCACCCTGCCTTGGTGGGAAACAGCCTACGTGTTAAAAAAAAATGCTATCTTGCTTTACTGTATATGGCTGTTAATTTTAGGATCCTAACATTAATTTGAACAACCTGTTAAAATGGAAGAAAAGTTTGATATGAGTGTACTGTCCATCCTTGTACTCCAAATGATATGATTCCTAATTTCATGAAAGCTTCTTCCTGAGAAAGAATTTACAGCACAATGTCATCTTTATGCAATTGAGGAATTAATCTTGTTGGACCATACATACATTATCTAGTCAATCACTTGATTGTTATTTGATCTTATTGAAAAATAAACATTATGCAGAATTATACTAGAGGAGTACAGTATAATACAGTGAAACATGTATCCAGTGTTCTGGTCGCTAAAAGTTATCAGGTTCCTGTGTCTGGTGTCAAGGTGGCAGGAAAGGTTGGCCACAGATCTTTGCTTTGATTCAGTGTATTTTGTGATTCTGCTAATATTTTACTCAACATATTCATTATTTGTTAAGCTGGATGCTGTATTTTCAGTACAGCATACTGTATATTAACTGTAAAAAGCATTTTTCATTCAAATTTTGGTGCTATTTTGTTAAGGTTTTCTGCCATTTTACTTGTAATTAATTCTTCCTTGTAATCTATGACTTTGTCTATCTTTGTCTTATGTTTTATAACATGTTACTTGGTATCAACAGTTGGGTTTGCAAATCAAAGAATTCCAGACAGTATCAAGGCATTATTAGTAAGCTAGCCAGCTGGAACCATGAAGTTGCATCATTTAACCCTTTCACTGTCTCCCAGGTGGATCTATGAAGTGCTATCACAAAGTTCCTGAGCATGAATTTTTGCACACTTCCTGGGTGAAATATGATGGTAGCATAGATCACACTGTGCAATCGACTCCTTTGTGCGGTAGTGTGGCGAGTTTCATTGCAGTTAGTCATTCCATTAAGGTTAGACTGGCATTTTTTGGTCATGTCAGTGCATTGTTGCAATTTTTCGTGTAACAGAATGGAATCTTTTAAAGAAAAAACAGCGTGGGTGTGTGTGAAATTCTGTTTCAAGCTCAGTAAAATGCCCTAGTGAAACTCACAAAGTGCTTCATCGAGCATTTGGCGACAAAGCAATGGGTCAAACAGCGTTTTTAATGGGTTTTTTATTCATAGCAGGACGAACATCAAAAACAGATACCAACATTGAAAAGTGAGGAAGGCTATTCACAGTAATAGTCATTAGGGTATCCAGGACAGTACAGGTGCTGTGGGAATTTCTTATGGGTCGTGTCAAAGCATTTTAACTGAAAATTTGAACAAGGGGCAATTGGCTGCAAAATTTGCTCCAATTGCTCACTCAAGACCAGAAAGACCATCATTTTCTGGCAAAAACAATATGGTGGTCATCCCCCACCCTCACTAATCACCAGATCTAGTCCCCTGTGACTTCTTTCTCTTCCAAAAATAAAAATGGCACTCAGAGAGTGGCAGTTTAACAATGTGGAGGAGATTCAAGCAGAATCACAAGCCGTGCTGGGCACCATTAGGAAAAGAGTTGCAGAAATGTTTCTAGAACTGGCAAAGATACTGGGACCAGTGTATAGTCTCCCAAGGGAAGTACTTCGAGGTGATTAGGTAAGTTCGTATGTATATTTTTTTTCTGTGGAAGTTTGGGAACTTTTTTATAGCACCTTGTATGTTATTCAAGCCAGTGTGACTTATGTAGAACTATGCATAAATTCTAGCAGTCTCAGATTTGGCATGAGAGGCCTGGTAGGCCTAGGCATAAGAAAAAATGTCTTTATGGTCATTTTGCAGTGTACAAAAGATTGGGGCTGCCACAGTGTATTGTGGGAATGCCATCTTAGTACAGTATTCCATTGTCCATTATGCCATCGATACAATACTCTCACTCTTTGCATGTATTATTCTCCAGTGACAGCTCCAGCAACAAGGATATTAATCCAAGGATAAATTCCATTGGTTCAAACATATAGTGACTGAAAGTAACAATTGATGTGTCAGAAATAATGCTGAAAACCCTGATGACCCTACAGTCATCCACTTCTGGGTCAGTGCATCCACATGTCCACACCATAATTGACACCTCATATTCTCCAGTGATTGGGCACAGATGTGAGCAGTAATGATGGTAGTGATGTGGATTTTGATTTCCTAGCAATTGATGATGATTTGCATGTTAAGTGTCAATTTACACAGTAATGCATGTAGTCTGATAGTGTCCCTCTTGCTATCCTTAAGGGACATAGTAGATCATGAGACCCAGCTCCAGTAACTGATAGTGATAGTGAAGATGATGATGCTTTCGTTGGCATTGGTAGTAGACCATGGGCAATGCAGACAGTGCGTGCAGCAGTGGCTGACAGGACAAAGAACCTGGCAGCACCAGCACCAGCCCCTGGAGGGAGTCATATCCCAATGACCCCAGGCCGTGTTGTCCATCCATACAGCAACCACTGCTAGCACCACCACCCCCACAGCCAGCCACAAATATCCAGCAACAACCACCAGGCCACAGCTGGTATTGGCAGGAGGATGTGCAATTTGTGCCCAGTTCCCATTAATTTGACAACACAGAGAGTGATATCCAGGCAAATTGTACCCTCAGGAATGATGCTGCTGACATGGCTTCTTTGGGCTCCATTTCAGTGAGCCCCTGATGTAAACAGTAGTTATGGAGACTAACAGATACTACAAGTATTCAATGGCAAACATGTTGGTTTCATCATGATCACATCTTCACAGGTGGAAAGACACAGCTGTGTCCGAGATGTATCGTTTTGCCATGTTCATTTTTATGCCACGTGTATAAGCACAATACATCATAATAGTAGACTGGCTTCCTTATATGTACCCTGGCATTTTGTGATCTCATCCCCATCAAAAGAGTTATCCTACTGTTGTATATGCTACACATCTCATACAAGATGAGGCATGATAGATGTGACATTATACAAGATTAGGGGTGTTTTTATGTATCTCTAAGATAAGTTCATCTAGTTCTTTTGTTCATCCCAGAACTTTGTTATCAACAAGTCTCTAATCCAATTCCAAGCCATATATTACAAGCGATAGGAAATGCTCTGGTATAAAACTGTTCATTTCATCTGGTCTGGTATTGGATATTGTGTAAATAGGAAGTAAAACATTGGAAGATATCAAGAAGCTATTGGGAATCTCCAGTGATGTGGTGAGTAAAATGATGTAACCATATCTTGAGAAGGGCCATACATTATACACTCATAACTGATACACAGGCCCCTTATTCAGTGATTTTCTGCTGATGAATATGAGAGATGTGTGGTACAGTGTGTGGAATACAAAAACATATGCCTGAGTTCAGTGCAGGCATTGATGGTGAAGTGCATTGTTTCATGCCAGTGACATGGCATTTCGATGACATGAGAAACGTGATGTGACATTGTTGAAATCCATCCACGAGCACGAAATGAAAGATAGAGGAAAGGTGAAACCAGTGAACCAATGAGACCAACTGCTGTTATGGATTACATGAATACCTGCATTTGGTGGACAAACGTGATGTGCAGATTGGGTTTGTTGGTTATGTCCAGAATTATGAGTGGTACATGAAACTTTTCTTTCATCTTAACATTGCAGTGCTGAATGCATACAGTATGTACCAGATAAAGACTGGGAAATGCTGCCATATGCCCACTTCTGTTTGCTTGTCATCAGACAAATAATACAGAAATACAAAATCACAATGCATGTGACCTCACTGATCACTAATTACTCTCTCATTTGCAGTATGGTGATCACTTTCTAACTAAACTTCCTGCTACAGACAAGAAGACGTGGACTCAAAAGAGATGTTATGTCTGTGAACACACACTTATCTAGGTGCCCAGCAAAGCACAGGGATACACATTTCGTGTAGAGAATGTCAACCACCACTGAATATGGAGCCATGATTTAGGTGCTTCCAGACTGGAAAAGTAATAGGAACATGACCAGTGCCTGTATATATGTGTACGTATGTTAAAACAGTAGGATTATGATGCCGTTGGACATGTGTGTCTTTACTATGTCGTGCATCATTGTTTTGCAAACAATATACGTGGACCCCCGCATAACGATCACCTCCGAATGCGACCAATTATGTAAGTGTATTTATGTAAGTGCGTTTGTACGTGTATGTTTGGGGGTCTGAAATGGACTAATCTACTTCACAATATTCCTTATGGGAACAAATTCGGTCAGTACTGGCACCTGAACATACTTCTGGAGTGAAAAAATATCGTTAACCGGGGGTCCACTGTACTTTTGATACTGTTAGTGCGAGTATTATACTTTATACAAAGGCTAACCATACGGACATTGTTCATGATATGGATGTCATAGGTCACAACAGTTACTGGAAAATGAAAAAAAAAAAAAAAAAAAAAAAAAAGCTCGATAAAGTCATACAGAGCATGTGGCAATCACTGATGATACCATCAGTAGGTCAACAACCATTAACTTCACATTTTCATATCTTAGTAAGTACTTATGAGATTTTTTTTTTTTTTTTTTTTTTTTTCATTACACAGAAAAAAAAAAATTTGCAACACTGACAGCACTCTCAGTTTTGAGGGTCTGACATTGACAGGGTTAACATGCCCTTTTCTGTTGGTGGGTAGTGGATCCACATGGATCCATTACCCACCAACGTTGTATACAGTACTGTACATATTGTTGAGTCACCAGTTTGTATTATAACTACAGAATCATACAGTGCTGCTTTATTATAATGGACCTAAAATTTTACAATATGTTTAACTAATATTATGTCTGTTTAGAAGAGCCCTGGCAGCATACTCATGTTTCCATTCAAATATTGATTCTGTACCTGAAAAATTTTGATCCACAACCTTCTAGTGACATGTATCTCTTGCAGTCATAAGGAAGTGCACATTTTTTCTTTATAATTGTTCTGTTTTAATTTAAACTCAAAACCTTGATTGATCTTCTGTGGTCTCTTGTTAATTTGAATCACCTCCAGCTTGTGTCCTAACTAATAATGCTAATAATTCTTCAGTTAGGGCTTCAGGAGATACATAGTACTTTTGGCAGAATGAGTATCAAGTAAAAAGTAGTGATAATTAAACCTAAGAGAATAAGAAAAAGGAACTCCTTGAAACAAGATTTGTGTTAATTACTTTTGTTTCGTGGAATTAAAAAAGAAATTCACTCCTTAATAGATCTTTGGTCAGTATCACTGACAGAGGATTTTTTTGTAGTGTATCAAGACCTGTTACATAGACTTTATGATGTTTTAAAGCACGGAAACTTTAAAAGAAAATCTGTGTCAAGTTGAAAGGTCTACACTTCCATGAAATATTAATACTTCGTTTGTATCTAGCAGGATTTCAGTTCCAACATAACTGGAGGATACATGTTTCACTGTAAACAATATCATTTAGCTGCTTACATGGCAGATCATTAAACAAGCTAAAGAAAATAATTATTCATATAATTACAATGAGGAAGCTTTGAAGACACGGCTTAATAATGTACCTTATTCCCGTATGTTGTGTACTGTTCTGTGAATGCAATGTCTGTACCTGTACTCTTGTCATAATGTGTTCATTTATTGAAATTAATATATAAAAATATATTGGGCTTAACTGTAGTACTAAATTTTAAGTGTGTGTGAAAAGCATTTGCTTGTTTAACTTAAGAATTAGGCTTTAACTAGTAAAAAATTTTACCTAACTGTATATAGCCTCACATAACCTGTTAGTATGTATTTAGTAATTTTCCCCGTATAACCTTGCTTCTCAGTATTATTACATACTAATTTTTACTAATGATTGATATTAAAGATGAGAGCAGAATTTTTTCATTGAGTTTCATTAATGGCAAAACATTAATAGGATTATAGGAATAATTCGTCCAAAGAAAGTGGGTATAGAGGATGTCAAATAAACATAATATTCATGGTACATTTGTCACTCCTCTCTTTGTGTTTTGTGTGTGAAAATAAACATGTTCATTTTGCTTTTGGATATTTTAAGTTTTATGCAGCTTGTATACTTTTGGTAATGTATCACTGTTTTTCAGAGAGAAGAAGCAGAAACAAACAGGTGGAAGGATGTGATGGCTGGGGATTTAGGGGAATGGGGAAATGCTGAAGAGAAGAATGATTCTGGCAAGAGTGAACTGGCTAAGTTAGTTAATATTGATGGAGTTCAAATGCTTTAATGATCTCATTTTTATCTCTTTCAAATAATATAATGGATTTTTAAGTCACTGTATAATGCTTAATGCATCATTGTGGAATTTAATGTGAATTCTTGATTTTGGAATTATATTGAAAATTTGATGAAAAGATCAGTGTAGATTAACTATTTGCTTTAAACTAGTAAGATAAAAATTATTATTTCATACATGGAAAATCTAGTAATGACACTTCTCAAAGAAAATGGCTTTGTAAAATTTTGTAGATTTAAAAGTTTGAGGTTATTGTTATTAATTTTTGTGGAAAACTTTTATTAGTTACTTTCCAATCATGAATGATGTGTATTTAGAACTATTGTACTGGCTTTGACCAAAAATTACTTTATGAATTAATATAAATACTGCTTATATCTTTATTATTAGGCATTTTATATTGTTCCTAGGAATTTTACTACTGTACAACCAATTTATGTGATACTGTAGGATGATGAAATGATATCAGAACAAACCAGTTAGTCTATTAAAGCTGTGTAGGATTTTAGTTGTTGAATTTAACAAAAAAAAAAAAATTAGTACATATTGTACTTCATGCCTTTTATGGCATGAAGTCTCTATTCTTACTGAATTTCAGAAATTACAGTGCTTGTATGTGTATGTATATACTGTTTGAACTTGCTGTTCATGTTCTTTGTAAATACAGTGGTCCCTCGTTTTTCGTAATTAATCCATTCCAAAGAGGGTGACTATTATCGAAATTGACAATTTGCGAAACCATTTTCCCCATAAGAAATAATATAAATACAATTAATGCGTTCCAGACACCCAGAAGTATTAAAACAAAATAATTTTTTACATGAAATATAGATGTAGATACACAGAAAACAATGAGACATGAAGAACGAAACATTAACAGCATAACACTTACATTTATTGGTGATTCTTCTTAGTGTATGGAAGACTGGAGGAGGGGAGAGGTTGGATTAATTACTGTTTGAAAGGAGAATCCCCATCCATAAAGATTTCAGGTATGAAGTCCTTTTCTGGGGTTACTTCCCTTCTTTGTTTTTTACTGTCGCTAGGACCAGCTTGAGAACCACTACACACCTGTGGCACTAAATACTTGGCCAGAGAGCTCTGTTTCTGGCATCTCTAAAATTTCCCTAAAATGGGTCAAGACTTTGTCATTGTAAATGTTGCCAACACGGTTTGCAACAGCTTTGTCAGGGTGATGTTTCTCCACAAATCTTTCCTCCTGAGTAATGTAGGTCGTCCTTGGCATTTTCTTCCAAAAGAGTCCTGTTTCATCACAATTGAACACTTGTGGTTTGAATTGTTTAGTCTTTACGTACAGTGGACCCCCGCATAACGATTACCTCTGAATGCGACCAATTATGTAAGTGTATTTATGTAAGTGCATTTGTACGTGTATGTTTGGGGGTCTGAAATGGACTAATCTACTTCACAATATTTCTTATGGGAACAAATTCGGTCAGTACTGGCACCTGAACATACTTCTGGAGTGAAAAAACATCGTTAACCGGGGGTCCACTGTACTCCTTGAATTCACTTAGAATTTTTCAGCTACATTTTTGTCTGAACTGGCAGCCTCACCATGCCTTATCACACTGTGTATGCCACTACATTTCTTAAATCTCTCAAACCAGCCTTTGCTGGCCTTAAAATCACAAATATCAGTACTCGTTGCAGGCAATTTCTTTACGAGATCGTCATGCAACTGCCTTGCTTTTCACAAATAATCGACTGCATGAGACCATCTCCTGTTAATTGTTTCTCGGTGATCCACACCAACAATAACTTTTCAACATTTTTGAGTACTTGCGATCTCATTTTTGTGAGCATATTCATATAGTCGGACTTGAGTCCTGGAAATGGGAAGTACAATGCCTGCACTTTAAAGGAGGGGTTTGGGATATTGGCAGTTTGGAGGGATATGTTGTGTATCTTTATATGTGTATGCTTCTAAACTGTTGTATTCTGAGCACCTCTGCAAAAACAGTGATAATGTGCGAGTGTTGTGAAAGTGTTGAATGATGATGAAAGTATTTTCTTTTTGGGGCTTTTCTTTCTTTTTTGGGTCACCCTGCCTCGGTGGGAAACGGCCGACTTGTTGAAAAAAAAAAAAAATTACCCCCTTTGCAACAGCAACTTCTTGATTTCTTTTTTCTTGCCCACGATGGAAGCAATGGTTATATGGGGTTTCTTAATATATCCTGGCCAGCTCTGCCACACGTACGCCACTTTCGTGTTGTTCATTGATGTTTTTCTTGAATTCTATCATATTTCTCACCTGGAGCCATGGTGGCTTATTTAGCAGTTGCAAGCACTAAAATGAATGGATTATGAAATGTATCGTATAATCTTGTGAGGTGATGGTCACTTGCTGATAAACAATAGCACACTGGCTGGGAATGGAGTGAGACCGCTCGGGGCCGTGCGTACACATTCGGGATGAACGACTATTTTCGAGTCAAACGATGATATGTGAGTCAATGTTTTGACGAAAAAGAGTTATGATTTTCGAAAATTATGACTTTCGATGCTTATAAAAAACGAGGGACCACTGTACATATAAAGAGCATTATACAGTTTATTGAATAAAAATAGGAGGTAATAAACAAAGTACAGACACTAAATATAATACTCCAGCATTTTTCCTTAATTCAGAAGTGATTCTGGCATTTTTTAATTAATCTTTGTTAGAAGGTCTATTAGTAGTGCTCTTTTTTTTTTTCTTCTTTTTTTTTTTTTTTTTTTTATCGTTGAAGCAACCATGCTTGTTTTGCTTTTAGTAATAGGACTATGAAAAATATTTACTTGGTATACAAGTAGTAAAACAAGTCAGGCAGAAACTTGGACAGAGGGAAATGTATACAAGAATGAATTAAAATAACTCAAGAGAACTGGAAAATAACAAGGGTTAAAGTTGTTAATGCATTAGTGTGGGTAAATCAGCTGACATGGATCTTTGTCATATGATGACCTGTTGGGTGATACCATAGTCCTATGGTAGGGACAACACAAGAAGCAGCTGTTGATGTAGGGTTCTGTGGACTGAGGTGTCTACTGACACACACAAATGTGGTAGCTTAGCTATTGGCCTATGGTGGGCCACGGCAGTGACAGCTGGCTCAGTGGTCTGTGGCTAAAGTGAGTGGAGAGTATTTGTTATTAAAATGTGGCCAATGAGAGCAATACATGTTTATTAGAAAGAAGATTCTTGAAAATGTATTCATGAATAATCAAGGCAAAAACACTATTCTGTAATTCTTGTTATTGCAGTAAAATATTTAAGAAGATTCTGTCTGAAAATAGTTATAGTTCGGTTTTTATTTGTAAATATTGTACAAATGACTGTATGTAGTATATAAATGGTTAAAGCCAAATTAAAAAAAATCACATGCTGTACCATCTAACATCATTCAGAAGTCAAGCAAAATGCTCAAGACAAATAGGTCGCTTGTACTTTTCATCTCTACCAGAAATGGTAGAACTTTGTTAAATTGCTTCTACTTACTACCAGTTGTATGAATAATATTTTTCCAATCCAGTATAATAATTTCCTTTCTAAATTTAACATATGTTGATTTCAACAGTTTGTTCATTCATTTAATATCATCATTGAAAATATAAAGATGTAAAGGAATGCATACTTGCATACAAAATATAATAACTTGTGCTTAAATCCCATTCTTTGTGTTTTTTGAATACTGCCCTCCTCTTCAGTCCCTTTGACTTACTTTTTCCAGGCACATTTTTACTATAGAAATAAATAATAAGGCTTGATAATATTCATTGTACTATTTCTTAATTCCTTAAAATTCTTTAGGGGCTAATATAAAATTCAAGTGCTTGCCCATTGAAAAATGTTATTGTAACATACAATACTCAAAAATATTTTTTACTCATTAAAGTTGGATCTGGGAATAAACAGGACTTGTCAGATAGTAAAACCTCAATTTAACAGATCCTGCTGTAACAGGTTTAGGATTTAACAGACAAAATCTGTGACCAGACAACTTTTGGAAACAAAGGACCTTTTTTTTTTTTTTATCCCATTCACTGCCCCAACCCCCAAAATTAAAAGTGCTGACAGTGTTGCAATTTAAAGAAAGTCTGGCATGGAAGAGAATCTCTTTCCTGAAGGTAATGACACCAAAAATTTAGGATTTGATGTAAAACTTGAAGAATTATGTATATGTAGGTATACAAAGTTGGCAATCTGGGAGCAACTTAAGCATCAATGAATTTGCCCACTTTGAGTTTTGTTTTAAGCCAATTCTATTGCTCAGTTTGACCATCTCTTAGCTATTTTCAGAGTATGTCTTCTGTTCTGTCGATGGAACACAAGAAACCACCCTTTCATCTATCAGAACTACCCCATAAGTCACACACATCTGTAATTTGGTGAATTTTCCAATTTAAATAAGTCCAAAATAAACATTATGTGCATTCCAACCACTAAAGCAACCTATCCTCTGTTCATTATTCATGTCCCCCATCTATAAAGCCAATAAAACAGATTTTTTGGAAGTTGGACACCTTGAGCTTCCTCAGAAAAATCGTAAAATAAAATTTAATATTTCTGCTAGTTTGAGCCCTATTTCATGCTACTTCCTGTCCTAAAACTGACCAAAATCATCTCTGTTTCAGCATTGTTTTTATTCTATCAACTGATACCAAGAAACAGCCAAAAACAACATAAAAAACATCTTGGAAAACACCTCAAAGGTTAGGTCAGAGGTTTGCTTTTCCCATCATGCACTGAAGGGGGCAGGAATTTTTTTTATACTGTACACATACTCCAAATAGACAAATTCTTTCATGTCTTGGCCAAAATTTACCACTCGTACATATTTGAGGGTTGTGTACTGGAAAGAAAGACTGTAACACTAGGCTGAATCACTGGATTGCATCACTGGCTGAAATACAGCACTGTATCACTGGCTGGATCACTAGGTTGCATCACTGACTGGAACAGCAGACTGAATCATTGCCTGAAACTACACTGCACTGTTGTTGATGTTCAGGGCAATGAGCAGGCAGACTCTGCTGCACGGTCATCAGTACATGACCTTCCCATTTCATATAGGGGTATTTCATTCTCAGACTATTTTGCTGTGATCTCTAGCCACCTTTGCAACCATATCAAATGTAGGTTGGATAAATGCATAAGTGAGAGGGGTTGGATTTAAGTGGAACTTGTACATGAGTAATAGATTTATCAAAGCTTATTGCTTGGGTAGCATTGAAAATGGGTTGGGCAAATATTGTTAGTAGGTTGGATTTACAAAGGACCTGCCCAGTATGGGCCAACAGGCCTACTGCTGCAATGTTCCTCTTTATAATCTTATGCTATGTCTGAGTTGATTCATAGCAAATTACATTCTGTCAAGCCATGTTTAGGATCCTGGCCTTCGTCTTATCATCGATGCCATGGTTGCTAGACTACACTTTCCCGTCTTCACATCGGGCACACACGTCCCACTCGTGGATCTTTCATGGAGGTGCCCAGTTCCACTCTGTGAGAATTGTCAGGTTCCAATTTCAGTTTGCCATATCCTATTGGACTGTCCTGTTTACCAGCGAGCATGCAGAATTTGCCTCCATGACGGTCCCACCTTTGACACAGACTCCCTCTTGACTTTTTGAGAGCAACAGATTACACAACCTTTGATTATACTTCCTTAGCACTCCTCGCTGCCCTTACTAACTCTACCTCTGTTATTCTCTCCACCCTTGCTAGTTTCAGATCAAGTAGTATATTAAACAGTTAACATACCCTACCCTGCAGCACCTATGACCCTTGTGGGTTCAGCGCTTAGTCTTGATTGTAATAATAATACACTGCATCACTGGCTGGAAAATTAGACTGCAACACAGGCTGGAATACTAAGTTGCACCACTGACTGGAGTGCTAGGCTGCATCACTGACTGGAACACTAGACTTAATTACTGGACAGGCTGCATTACTAGTTGGAACACTAGATGGTACCCTATACTGCATCACTGGCTGGATTACTAGGCTGCATCATGAGTTGAAACACATAAGTGGAACCCTAGACATGTATAAATCACTGGTTACAACACTGGCTAGAATACAAGACTGCATCACTGTCTAGAACCCTAGACTGCATTACTGGCACTGGAACACAATGCATCACTTTCTGGAACACAATGCTGCATCACACTGGAATATTGCACTGCATCACTGGCTTGAACACTAGAATGCATCACAGGCTCGAGCACTAGGCAACATTACTGGCTGGAAAACTAGGCTGGAGCTCTAGACTGCATCAGTGATTGAAAACCTACATCAACTGCCTCCCAGCATACATAAGGGGGATTACCAATAGACTCCTGGCTGTCTTCAAGAAGGCGCTGGACAGGCACCTAAAGTCAGTACTTGACTGGCCGGGCTGTGGTTTGCATGCCAACAGTAACAGCCTCTTTGATCTACCATAAGGCCTGGTCACAGACCAGGCTACAGAGTCACTGACCCCCGAAACCCTCTCCAGATATACACCAGAAAACAAGACTGCATCACAAGCTGGAACATTAAGCTGCATCACTGGTTTGGACACTAGGCTGCATCACTGGCTGGAACACTAGAGTGCTTCACCGGTTGGAAAACAAGGTTGAAACATGACTGCATTACTAACTGGAACATAAAACTGCATCACTCGCCATAACACTAAACCGCATCAGTAGTTAGAACATTAGGCTGCATCACTGGCTGGAACACTAAGCTGCAACTGACTGGATCACAAGACTGAATCAATGGCTAGGGTACTAGGATGCACCACTGTCTGAAAGATTAGACTGCATCAATGGCTGGAAGATTTGGCTGAAACACTAACTTACATCTCAGGCTGGAACACTAGTCTGCATCACTGGCTGGAACAAAAGATTATCACAGGCTGGAACACTAGGCTGCATCACTGGCTTAAGACAGAAATGCCAAAAAAAATAAACTTTTTTTGGATAATTTGACAATTTGAAAAGTATCACTGGCTAAAATATAGAGGTATTCCATTCTCTGACTATTTTGCTGTAATTTCTACTTACCCTCGCAACCTTTGGCAACAATGTTGGTCTGATATGACTCTTAAATTACATTCTATCAAACCAAATTAGGGTTTCTGGCCGCCTTGTCATCGATACCAAGGTTGGGAGACAACACCACTGTCTTTGCATCGGACACACTCGTCTAACTCGGGTATTTCACGGAGAGGCATTCTGTTCCACTTTGTGAGAATTGTCTAGTTCCTGTTTCAATTTCCTATATTCTATTGGACTGTCCTGTCTATCGATGAGCATGCAAAATTTTCCTCCGACGTCGTCACCGCTCTAACACCCTTACTTTATCTTCCCTCCTTGCTGATGGCCCCACCTTTGACACAGACTCCCTCTTCGACTTTTTGACAGCAACTGGTTTATTACACAAACTTAGATAATCCTTCCTTTAGCATTCCTCACAGGACTCTCCTAACTTCACCTTTATTGTCCTCTCACCCTTATGCTTAGATCCTGCATCATTTCCTGTCCTGCAGCACTGCATGATCCCAGTAGGTTTAGTGCTTCCTTTTGATTATAATAATAACATATTTTGGGAGGAAAGTGCTGGTAAAACAAATTGTTTTACTGTGACCCCCTGACCTCGTTCAGTGGTGACGTTGACCTCGTTCTGTGAAAACATGTACTTAGCTGTTTGACCTGTACTTAGCTCTATGAGGATGTGTCTGGTGTACTGTCTGTGAATCTGAACCAGATTGTCCTCCATGAACAACTTTACCAGCAGCTTAGGGTAGCTAAGCTCAAGATACAATGATTCACGGAGGAAAACAAGAGGATTCATAGTAATCCTCCTGTTGTGAGTCCTCAGGTTAGGAGGGAAACCTGGTCAGTGGCTGGGCAACATGGAATGAAGCTGAGATCTCGAAGACCAATGGATGGCAGAACAATGAAGAACTAGAATACTACTGTGGAACTTCGAACCCATTTTCTGTGCTACCCTGCGAATGTGGGTTGTTTTACTGGGTAACGTCATAACAAGCACCAAGGAAGCATTGGCAGACCAGGGCGAGTCGACATCCCTTGAAGCCCCAACGAAGACCATTCCAATGAAGGCCATCCCAAAGAAGACCATCGAGAATGCCACGAACTCCGCCAGTGAAAGTAAGAAATCATTGTTTTAGTTGGGGACAGTCAGGTTAAGTTTATGGATAGGGCTTTCTGTCTTAGAGATAGGAAGAGGAAGCAGAGGGTATGTTTTCCTGGGGCTCAGATGGAAGATATTCTTAGCCGTCTAGATGACATCATGAAAGATAATGGGAGCAATCCTATTATCTGCCTCATTGCAGGAGGCAACAATGTTGGCAGATGTAGGAGTGAAGACCTTGGTTAGCAGGTATAGGACATCAACAGAGATAATTAGGAAGAAGGGTGGGAACCTTGTGAATTGATTT